ACAAAATGCTTAAATGTTTTACTCAACCAAAAAGGACAGTAATGCCTAATTTAAGAGATAAGACAGTCTGATGAGGCAAAAAGAAAATCTCATTCAGACTGGAGCTGGAAAGTATATTGGACAAAACAGTCGATAGAATGTCCATGAGAATTTCTTGATAGTTCATTAATCAGGTTTGGGTCACACCTATTTACCATTTGTAATGTACTGATTTAGACCACTGAAAAAAGCAGATTATCTTTTAGCTTTAACCTTAAAGAGTAATTCCATACACTGGATTTCTTACATTCTGGGACTCAGGTATTCTTTATAAACCATCAAGCTAAAAGCTTGATTCTTTATATTACTCAGGTATTCTATTTTTAATTCTTCCTCTTTTTTCTTTGGGGGGAAGGGGTCCGTCGTGGGGCCTGAACTCTGGGCCTGGGTGCTGTCCCTCAGCTCTTCAGCTCAAGGCTAGCGCTCTACCACTTGAGCACCACTTCTGGCCTTTTCTCTTTATGTGGTGCTGAGGAATCAAACCTAGGGCCTCATGCATCCAAGGCAAGCACTCTACCACTGAGCCACCTTCCCAGCCCTACTCAGGTATTCTTTATTACCATCAATCTAAAAGTTTGCTTTGAAATGATTACTCAAGAATAATTCAAAGAACTATTACTTAATAACTAGTCAACTAGTGATAACTAGTTTATTCATAGAAGTAGTTAAGAAGATAATCTAGTTGATAATTCATTGCATTTGCCTTGAATATTATCTATAAAAACAATTTTTAAAACATGTCTAATTTTCAGATTTTAATAATAAGATAATTTAGAGACAAGGAAAAATCTTTAATAGCAAAGTATGCAAAGAATTTAGCCTTACCACTATTCTTTAAACATTCTTGTACAAGTAAGAGGACATCTGGTTGAGACATCTAGGAAATAAATGAATGAATACATGAAATAACCCCTAAATATTTTGATTTTGCTGGTATAATATACAGCCAGAAGCTACTCAAATGGCTTTTCAAATTAGAAATACATGTTGCTACTACAGTAATGAAATGAATCATTATGCTGTATGTATACAATATTCAAAAGAAGACAGATGAGCATCAAATGAGTGTGAATGTGGGCAAGAGACCCACCTCATAATTTACTCCTGATGAGTTAATTCTCCAGGTTGGTATCTCTCAACAAATCTAAAAGTGGAAGTTTTCACACTGCTAATAATATTACCTCTCACTCTGCAAGCCTATTGTAATTGCTAACTTAATGGTCTAACTTCATTATTTCTTCAGTTTTTCTCCAATCCTTGTTCCACAATGGAATCAAAATCATTTAAAATTTTGCACTGGACCCTAAAACTCTCAATGACTCACTACCTTAGCCTTAGTAAAATTCTTAGCATAATCTGTAAAATCTTGCATGTTGAACCCAGGCTTACTTTTCCAGTCTAATTTACTTCAAAGAGGCCTTCATGACTGCTAAATCTCAGACCAGAACTTGCTTTCAGGTATAGCTCTCCTTATAATTAATAAGTGTGGCAATGCTGGCTCCAGCTTTCTGGCAGTCATGCTTTTCTGCTGCCTTCTTCTGATTGGAGGTTGGTAATCTTGCAAACACAATTGGAGTAAACACCAGCCAGCTGCAGCCTTTAGCTACCCAGACTCAAGCCTGAAATCCTAGCTACTCAAGAGGCTGAGTTATAAGCCAGCCTATGCAGACAAATCTGAAAGATTCTTATCTTCAATTAACCAGAAAAAAAGCCAGAAATGGAGATTTGCTGCACAACTCTTTTCCCTTGCTGAAAGAAAATGATACTCTGAATGTGCAATGTCCTATGAAATGCCACAATATCAAAATAGATGCTAATAGCCGACCTTCTCAAAGTGTCTTTGATGATCTGCTCATCTTACACTTGCTCTTCAATTTTTGAATGTGAACACGTACTTTCTCTCCTGGGTTCAGATAGTTGTAGACTTGGTCTAATTTGGGGACTCTAAGGAATAGTCTTCATTCTGTGTATGCTGTTTTTTTTTTTTTTGGCTAGTTCTGGGGCTTGAATTCTGGGCCTGCATGCAGTCCCTCGGCTCCTTTTGCTCAAGGCTAGCATTCTACCACTTGATCCACAGTGCCACTTCTGGCTTTTTCTGTGATTAATTGGAGATAAGAGTCTCACAGACTTTCCTACTCAGGCTGGCTTTGAATCACCATCCTCAGATCTCAGCCTCCAGAGTACTAGGATTACAGGAATGAGCCACCAGCTCCTGCTTGTGTATACTACTTCTAAACTTGGTTTCCTTGATTAAAAAAATGTTGAGAAAACCAGTGAAGATGTTTATAATACTTTAAGATCTATTCAGAAAAAAAGTAAACAGATGATAAAAGCTGCTAGTTAGCTTGGCTTCTTGAACAAGTTGAAAGATAACCAAATTATCTGAGAAACAGGTCATGCAGGATTTTTTTTTTTTTTCATGCAGGATTTTTCATACTGATTTTTCTTTTGTTTTAAGAAAGTATATCTTTGTGTAACCCAGGCTTTTCTTCTTCAAATTCTCTATCTTCCCAATTTATCTGGGATTATAGGTTGGTACCACCACACATAGCTTACATTGTTTTATACATAAATTATCAGTTAACTTTGTCTACTTGTAACTACTTAAGCAATATGAATTTCAGTCCTGGAATATATATGTGAATATGTAAGTGTATATATACGCACACACATACATAATTTGGAAGATGTATATTAAAAGACATAGTATGATCTTCCCACTTCATTCTTCATCTTCCCAACTGTAACTGATTTTCATTTCTTATATGTACTTCTAGAGTTACTTTATGAGTAACCAAACAAATACAAATAAAAGTTTTTGGGCTGGTAATGTGGCTTAGTGGGAGAGTGCTTGCCTACTGTGCATGAAGCCCTGGGTTCAATTTCTTAGTACCAAATAAACAGAAAAAGCCAGAAGTAGTGCTGTGGCTCAAGTGCTAGCCTTGAGCAAAAGAAGCTCAGGGACAGCACCTGGGCTCTTAGTTTAAGCCCCAGGATTGGCAAAAGAAAAGTTTCTTAGTCTTTCTCTCTTTGCAAAAAAAGAAAATGACAAAAAAATAAGCACTGTAAACACTTCATCTTTTTGAAGTTAAATACTTCTTGGACATCTTTCCATTAAATCACTGTTCTTTACCACAGGAAGAAAAAGGGAATAGAGTATGATTATAAAAATAAATAATCTTGGGGGCTGGGAAGGTGGCTCAGTGGTAGAGCACTTGCCTTGCATGCATGAGGCCCTGGGTTTGATTCCTCAGCACCACATAAGCAGAAAAAAAAAGCCGGAAGTGGCACTGTGGCTCAAGTGGTAGAGTGCTAGCCTTGAGCTGAGAGCTGAGGGACAGCGCCCAGGCCCAGAGTTCAGGCCCCATGACCGGACCCCCCAAAAAAATAAAAAATAAATAATCTTTATGAGAAAAGACTAAAAACTTTTTGAATTAAAAAACAAAACAAAACAGAATAATGAGCCAGCCACTGGTGGCTCATGCCTGTAATCCTAGCTACTCAGGAAGCTGAGATCTGAGGATCACAATCCAAAGTCCAGGCAGGAAAGTTCATGAATCTCTTACCTCCAATAAACAACTCAGAAAAAGCTGGAAGTGGCACTGTGGCTTAAGTGTAGAGCACTAGCCTTGAGCAAATGCAGCTTAGTGACAGTTCCCAGACCCAGAGTTCAAGCCCCAGGACAGGCAAAAAAAAAAAAAAAGTTTAAATTTACGGGAGTCACGGGGCTGGGAAGGTGGCTCAGTGGTAGAACGCTTGCCTTGCATGCATGAGGCCCTGGGTTCGATTCCTCAGTACCACATAAGCAAAAAAAGAAAAAAGCCAGAAGTGTCGCTATGGCTCAAGTGGTAGAGCGCTAGCCTTGAGCTGAAGAGCTGAGGGACAGCGTCCAGGCCCAGAGTTCAGGCCCCACGACTGGAGCCCCCCCAACCCCCAAAAAAAATTTTTATGGGGGTCATAAATAATTTTTGCTGTTTTGAAATTTTTTTGAATCAGATTAGTAAAAATATTTGACCTGAACAGAGCTTTTTTTTTTCTCTTTTGCTGGTTTTTGGTTGCTAGTTTATATGTCTTTGGGAGTACAAGGGGAGGCACCGAAATGGAGGAACAAAGGGTGAACAAATGCAGCAATGGTACTCACTGGACACGATGTTAAAAATGAACTTTACAACTTATGGGTGGGGGGATGAGAGGGAAGGGGTGACAAGTGTCCAAAAAAAAAATACTCTTTACCTGACTTAAGTAACTGTAACCCCTCTAGTAACAATAAAACTTTGTTTAAAGAAAAAGAAAAAATTTCATAAAACTATTTGTAAAAAGAAGCCAATAAATGAATATACCCTATATTCATCAAAAAAGTTTAATGTCTTGTAAAAAATAATGATGTCATGGAAAACTTATCTTCTTTACTAGCTATGAGAGTTCTGTCAAAGAGGAGGTATATCAATGTTGTCCTTCAGAATCCAATAGAGTACCTACCATGCAACAAGGATTTAGTAAACATTTGGTAAATGAATGAATGGTTCAAAATTAAAACAACTGCTATGGTTGGTAAATCATTGATCAGAATTTAAAATTAGAATAATAAAAAAACTGGGCTGAAGGTGTAGCTCAAGTGATAATGAGCTTACCTAGCAAGTATGAGGCTGAGTTCAAGCATTAATACAGCCAAAGGATAAAAAATAATCAGAGTAAAAAATTACTGATTGGCTGATCAGGTAGCTACAGCAGTCAGGTATAGTAGGGAATTACATGCTATGAAACAGACATTTTGGGGTGGAACTTTGGAATCTGCATTTTCACAAGTAGCTAAAATGACTGTGGAAACCACCAGTGAGTAAATGGACAAACATACTTAAGTTCTTTGAGTTTTAAAATTCTGACTCATCCATATCTTTCTGAATGATGTGTAAGACAGAAATCCTGGCTAGGTATAGCTATTTAAAAGCATAATGATTAGTGTTCCCTTTGGAAGCACTTACTAAACTGGGAACAATAAGAGAAAATCAGCATGGCTTGTATGCAAGAATGACATTTCAATTTGTAAAGCATCCCTTATGTAAAATAAAAGCACAATAATTCGACTGGATGTAGTGGTACATGCTTACAATCCCAGCAGAGACAAGAGGTTCCCTATCCAAGGTCAGCTTCAGGAAAAAAGCAAGACACTATTTGAAAAACAACAAAAGCATAAAAAGAATTGGGGATGTAGCTTAAGCTGAGAGTGTGTCTCTAGAATCAAAAGGCTTTTAATTCAAAGCCTAGAATTACCAAAAAGGAAAAGCATAAGTATTCTTATTAAACATGGTATATAAAAGAGGAAACTCAAGAGCTAATTACACTTTTAAATCATAAATATCTACAAATCTATACTGTTTTATACTTACAGTAGCTGGAAATTCAATGTCAATGTTGACATCTGAATTTTTGAAACCCAGTCGGCTACAGGAAGACCCATATAATCTGAGAGAACAATCTAAAAATAAATATATACAAGTCATAAAGTAAAATTTCTCAGAATATATATAATAAAACACTTCTCTTACAGAAATAGGATCAAGGGAAAACTACATACACAGCAAAACTGTATGAAAGGTAGCTATTGCTACTCCTTCAATTTTATATAACGGAGAAGGCTGTACTACTAATAATAGTCAAGCTTGTCAAGTCAGTTATAAAACATGTTAAGTATTTCTACATTATTATGCTCACATTTTTTTGCAGAAAACTCAAGTGGTAGTCATTTTGGAGGGAAACATGAAAGTTAAGCCAAACCTGGTGGTGCATGAGTGTAATCTTAGCACTAGTGAGGCTAAGATAGGAGGATCCTGAGTTCAAGGCCAGCCTGGGCTACAAAATGAATTCAAAGTCAGTCTAGACTATAGAGCAAATCACAGCCTCACAAACAACAAAAAAAAGGTAAGTTGACAAAGGTTCATTTCATGTTTAGAAACCTTATAATTTATACAACTATTGCAACAATCAATTTTTAGAAAGCACACATAGGTATTGCTTATACTAAAGAATATGTCTCAGTAATCAGTAATAAAAATTACCTTTCAACATAAAGTTAACTTTAAAATAAATATTTTTGAGACAGGATATTGTTGTGTACTTCAGGCTGGCCTCAAACTACTTCTGAGTAGTTAGAGTAGTAATTAAAGATGATTGCCACCATACCTTGTAAAGTTGATTTTAAAATATGAACAACTCGATTGTAAATAACATCCCCTTTGCAAAAATAATTATGATATAACTAATTTAACTTAACATGGTAGGGAGTAGGAATCTCCTCTTCAATAAATGATATATGCACATATATTTATCAATATAGTATTTCTATATAGCATTGCCAATGATCTACATTTATTATTATTATTATATTATTTTTGTTGGTTGTGGTGGTTGATCTCTGGGCCTGGGCTGTCCCTGAGCTCTTCAGCTCAAGGCTAGCACTCTACCACTTGAGCCAAAGTGCCACTTCAGGTTTTCTGGTGGTTAATTGGAGATAAGTCTCATGGACTTTCCTGCCGGGGCTGCCTTGAACCACAGTCCTCAGATCTCAGGCTCCTGAATAGCTAGGATTACAGATGTGAGCCACTGGTGCCCAGCTTGGTTTACTATTATTATATCAAAATAACTTTTCTCATCAGGGGACGCAACAGATTTAAGATTTGCTGATTCATATGATTTATTTAGGTTAAAAAGATGCTTTGGATTTAACTCTTTTTTTTTCTAATAAAGAAATAATATTTCTGCCCTCATATGTGTGTGTGTATGTATACATACATATATATTTATATATATAAAACGAATACTATATTCATGATCTTTCAAGAATTATAAGGTGATACTTTAAAGTAAATTATATCAACCCAGACTAAATCAAAATGATGAAAAGTCTTCTAAAACTGTTGTCCATGGCTCCCTAGATACTTCTTTTTTTGTTTTGTTTTGTTTTGAGTCCGGTTGTGGGGCCTGAACTCTGGGCCTGGGCGCTATCCCTCAGCTCTTCAGCTCAAGGCTAGCGCTTTACCACTTGAGCCACAGTGCCACTTCCGGCTTTTTTCTTTTTGCTTATGTGGTACTGAGGAATCAAACCAGGGCCTCAGGCATGCAAGGCAAGCACTCTACCACTGAGCCACCTTCCCAGCCCTCCCTAGATACTTCTGATGCACAGTATCAGGCTAAGTTATTACCATTATTTACCTAGATAGCAATGGCCAATGGGTTTTAGGTGAAGTTGGCTGCTGTGCAGGTCTAACAACTGTTGTGTAAGGTACTAACTACATTTGATCTTAACTGTCTTTTAGTGTAGCTTTAATTTTATTTTGTGTAATGATACCCATCTAAACTGTATCTCTCATATCCACATCAAAATGTACTACTAAACTAGCCTGTAATTCATACAAGAAGAAAGTAATATCAGATAAATATTACAATGCGGTTTAGGAAATAAATTACAACAGAAATGGCAAATACATGGATAAGTCCCAGTGGTTGCTGACTATTAAAAACAACTTACAAATTAGATACAACAACCAACTATAGTAGCAGCAAGGTTTACAGCAGAAAGCAGGTTATATGGAGCCCAGGTAATTATAGTCCTTTGTTAGAGGAGTGTGTGTTCAGGAGTAAAATTATAAAAACTGATCAATACTAATTGTAACAACAATCATAATGAGGTCTGTAATTTTGTAGTAAAAAGTATTTCTGAAATTTTATCTCAATTACCAAAAATTTATTTGATGCCTACTATAGTTCTTTTATATATTAAACAAATCTGCTGGTGAAGACACTCAGTGATATAAGCTCCAGCTCTGTGCTGGGAGAATCTGTGATCACCACACCATGGACAATAAATGTGGGAAATCACTAACTGGACTTCAAGGATTCTGTCCTAGGGAGGCACACCATTTATCATCATACCCAGTTGATCAAAGTGCGCCACAGAAAAATTCAAACGGCCATAGAAATTTATTATATACATATGTGTCATATATATGTATATATAAAATACACACATATATTTGGGCAATAGCAAAGTTTAAACTCAGAGCTTCACATCATCTTTTTTCTTTTTTTGGTTTTGCTTTTTCAGAGTTTTATTTCACTTCATTTTATTTCAATTTTTGGCCCACCAACTTCATACCAAAGATCTAAGTTCAAAATAATCAGAAGACACACATAAATTGGAAAATAAATTTGCCAGTATATGAAAGGCATTCCAAATTACATACAATTTTTTTCAGAGTTCAATGTAGGTATGAAATTCTTTTAAGTCTATTCAAATAAAACATGTTTTACACATGTAACTGGAAAATAACTCCAGAATACTTCTCTTTATGTAATTAAAAGATACTGTGCCAATTTCAGTAGGCAGAAAGGTAACAACACACACACATACACACAGAGTCTTACAGCCACAGTACCCCAACAAATTTTTGATTAGTGAATGCTATTTGAAATAAGACATTCTTTAAGAGGAAAGAAATCTACACAATACCTGGTAATTTGTGGTGGAATACCTTTCCCATCGTACTTTTAATCTCTATCCTCTGTTCCAAGTTCTCATTGTGTAACCCAAACTCCTGCACCACTTTTTCAATGGCAATGCCAACTGAATTTATCTGGGAGGGTGTTGGTGGGGGTAACGTAGTAAGCAACTCTTCCTCTTGTTTTTCCTTTTAAGACAAATGTTAAGATTAAAAAATGACTTCAAACATAGTTTTAGATTCTATCTTTCAGTAAGACAATACCCTACAAAATGTTAGTACACTTTTCTTGGCCTGTCTTAGCTCTATTAAATTTTCATCCTATCAAACACACACACCGTATGTACTGAATAGCAACAGTAGAGAGTAGGCAGGAACATGGATACAGCAGAAGAACACTAAAATAGAAATGATAAACTGATTCTTTGCTTTGCCATGGACACAAAGACATTTACTCAGGTCCAAGAAATCGCTTTCTACATACAACCTGGAACTATACTTAAGGAAATTTATTAGACTGTCCAGCAAACTTAATTGACCAGTAGAATTTGGGCTAAAAGAAAGCAATAAAATATTAAAGTTATTAATATATCTCTATAGAAGAGACCTATAAAGGTAACAGATAGGTAAAAACATTTGCTTGGGTCACATCAAACTCACCTTAATATTCTTCTTATGCCTCTTCTCTTTGATATGCTTATGGGCAAATGCAATGGATTCAATCAAAACATCACAGAGCTTACAGGTGTACTTTGCTGTAGGGCAATTCCGTGGTCGCTACAGTTTGAAAATATTGATAAAGAGATATATCTCCAAACATAAAAATTAGTCAGAAAAAAAAAAGATTTTCCCTTTACTTTTAAAAGTGTTATTTCAATACTGTCTTGGGCCATTACTATCCTAACATTTTTATTTTATTTTTTGTATGTTTTTTATTGTAAAAATACTGTACAGAGGGGTTACAGTTACATGAGCAAGGTAATGAGTACATTTCCTATCTAGCATTATTGCCTCCTCCTTTGTTTTTCCCCTACCATCCCTTCCCTCCCACCTCTACAACTACCTGCCACCCCCAAAGTTGTAAAGTTCGTTTTCAGCATAGTGTCTTGTGCATCTCATTGCTACAATGGGTCAACCTGTATCCCTATTTAAGCATTTTGTTTTTTTCTTCCCCTCCCTGCAGTAGAGAAGAGTATATACAAGATGCAGGGCACAGACATCAAATACAATGAAAACAGGGGTTATACCATGGGAGACAGTCATTTTTATTTAAGCATAATAGCAATTTTTACTATTAAACCATAAAAACTTTCAACTTGTAGTACTTAAACACTGATAACAAAAATGAATACTCCATTCACTAAGGCAGGCATTTCCAATTACTACCATAGTTTGAAAATCTGGATTTTAACTAGCAAATGTATGCATGAAGATGTTACCCTTTTCAGCCTGTCAATGCAGTCCCTCTTTAATCGTTCCTCAGCTTGCTGTAAGCCTAGTAGCTCCTTTGTTGAAAGTACAGACTCGTCAATCACAGGACCTTCCAACTCTCCATCCTGCTCATTTTC